ACGAACAAATGACGGCATCGCATGTCTGCGCTCTCCTCGTTGTCCTCCTCCTGTTCCCTCGCTTTCCTGAGCTCCTGCCCCCCCCCCCGCCCTTCACCGCCACGGCTAGACGCGGCCTGGCGCAAGGGGTCTGGGGACGGCGCCGTGAGAAGCACTGATCGCACTTCTGTTCTCGGTCCGGACCCCAGGGGCGCCTCGCGAATCGGTATGGGCCGAGGCGGCAGGGGCAGAGACGGTGCCGAGTGCTCCGGTCCAGCCTTTTTCACGAGGGCGCGGTTTTGGCCGCAGCGAGGTCTTTGTGCAGGGTCGGCCGTCAGAGGCTCGGTGGGTGGAGGATGCCATGCTTCGGGGGAGGACAGAAGCCACCCCGATCCCATCATCGGCGTCTGCTGAGCGGCCCTGGTCGTTTCCTGAGCGGCCCTGCCCTGTCCTGCACTGTCCGATTCCTTCCCTGGGTACGCTTGCTGAGCGGCTCAGCTTGTCGGGGTGCTCATTCTGAGGGTGGTTTTTCTGCACCCCGTATCCTTGTTCTCAGTGCCCCGTCCTTGATGGCACGATCCACTGCGGATTCGTCGAGTTGGTTCCTGGGCCTTCGCGCGGCTCGCGGGAGGCTTGTCGGGGCATTTGGTACCGTCGCGGTGACCGTGATCTCTCCTCCTCCTCCTCCTCCTCCGTCGAACTATTTAGCTGCTGGAAGGTTAGCGACCCTCCCCGGAGCCACGAAGACGAAACGACAGAGCAGCAACGGAATCGTCCTCATCCAGGGGACGGCCCGGGAGTGGCGGGTGCCACCTGAGCAATTACAAGCCGGCTGCGCGGTATTCGCGCGTAAGCTGCTCGCGCGAGGTCGCGCGTGAGCGGACTCCGTTCCACGCAGCCTGCCGCCGTGGCGGCCTGTGTAAGCCACTGCGTCAGGGCGCTGCGTCCTCATGCGTGCGCCCTCTTTCGTTTCGTCGCTCAGTTGGTGGTGGTGGATGCCTGCCCTCTACCCGATGAGCAATACTCGAGCGATGGAAGGAGCAGCACTTGCTCTGTCCCCGATCCTGTGGTCGGGCCGTGCTGGCACGTCCCTGTATGGGGCGGGGGGGGCATCACGAAGGAGTCGAATTGACAAGCCAGAGGCCCAGTGCAATCAACATCGGTGCTCCAAGATGCGTAGTAAGCCGCAGCCCCAAATGCAGCCTTCCCCGACGGCCCGTTCTTGTGAGCCCCCCCCCGAGGCACGCCCCTCCCCCCGAGCTCGCGGAGGTCAGCCCAATCCTATCTGCCTATGCGGTCCCCCCCCGCGCTTCGTCTTCTTCTTCTTCTTCTGCTTTCTCTTCCTCTTCTTCTTCTTCTTCTTCTTCTTCTCTCTATTTCTTCTTCTACTTCTTCTTTTCCTCTTTCTTGTTCTGCCTGCGATGACCATCTGGAGTGGTGGGCTCTGCTTCTTCCTGCTGTGACCATCGGGGGTATAGTGGGCCTGCAGGTTTCTCGGCCATCCTTTCGTTGTCTCTCGCCTCTCCTTCTTCGGGGCGGGGGAGGGGCGGGGCGTGCTGGGCCCTTGGCGCCTCCTACGGGCGGGGCCGCCGCGGCTTTCGGAGGAGGGCGCAAGGAGGGGGGAGGCGGGAGCGAGCGGGCCCACGTCGCACGGCCGTCCACAGGCAAACCGTGCCCGCTCTCCACCGCACTCGCGGGCGGCGCTACCCGCGCCTGCACGCGGCCTCGCCCTCCTCGATCGACGGGAGTTCGAGGAGGCAGTGGAGTTGATACCGCTACCCTTCCGTCGTTTTCTCCCGCGAGGCCCTCGTCGCCACGGCTGGATCCGTCTCGAGCTCCTGGTCAGGACGCACCCCGTGAGAGCTCCGGGGAGCAGCGGTATCCGTACCCTTTCGCCTTCCCCGGGAGGAGGCAGGAGGAGGGAAGAATCCGCAGCCCTCCTGGCTCGGGCTGGGGGGGCGCCCTCCGAGCTCCGAGCCCCCAGGGCGCGCGCCGGCCGGCATCTGTGTGGTGTTCCGCCGATGCCCGCCAGGCCGCCGGCGGCGGCCCCGCGGCGGCGGTCGCCCGCGCCTGCATGGAGGGCGCGGGCGGAGCTCGGAGCTCGTGGCGGCACCGCCGCCACGCCGAGTGGCTGCTCGCGGCGGGGGGCATCGCGGTCGTCGCCGCCCCCGCCGTGGGCGCCGCCCTCGGCCCGCGGAGGGCGGCGTGGCTGGCTGGGGCCCCCGCCGCGCTGCGCGAGGCCCGGCCCGGCGCCTTCCGCCCGGGCGCGCCGCCGAGGGGCGAGGCCGCCGCTCCCGAGCCCGGCGCCGCAGCGCCGGCGCTGCACGGTGCAGCCTCGGCCGCGCTCCGCCCGGACGGGCCGCCGCAGGGCGCGGCCGCCTCGCCCGAGCCCGCCGCGCCGGCGCTGGCGGCCTCGCCTCGGCCCGCGGCGGCGGGGCCGCCGCAGGACGCCCGCAACAGCTCCTGGAGCCTGAGCGCGTGGGCCTGGCGTTCCATCGCCAAGGGCAAGCACCTGCTGCTCATGAGCGAGGCGCACCGGCTGCTCTTCTGCGTGATCCCGAAGAATGCCGCCTCGGAGTTCCTGGGCCTGCTGATGCGGCTGGAGGGGCTGGGGCCCGAGCACTGGAACCCGACTGGATCGCGCCACCACCAGATGAACATCCACGCGGACCCAGGCACTCTGGGCATGCGCGTCACTTCGCGGCGCGCGCTCGTGGAGGCGGCGCTGCGCGGCGGCGAGGGCTGGGTGCGGGCAGTAGTGCTGCGCGACCCGGTGCAGCGGTTCTTGTCGGCCTACGGCAGCAAGGTGCGGCACGGCCACTTCAAGCAGTACCCCTCCAACATGACCCTGCCGCAGCTCGTCTCGCAGCTGGAAGCCGAGGGGGGCGTCGGGGGGGCCACGGAGTTCCACCTGCGGCCCCAGAGCTACATATCTCGGGGCTGCCAGAGGTGATCCTGGCTCCAGGTGCCCCTCCGCTCCTTGCGCCAGGTCCAGGAGGAGCTGAGGCCACCTTCCGGGCCGGCGGCCAGGGCCACCTCTGGCAACACCCGAACCCAGACCTCCGACGTCATGATGCTTTCCCATGCGCGGCCCTCCCGGCTGTCGACCCCTTCCCGAGACCTGCTCCTCCGTCCCCGATGTCGTCCCGCCGACCCAGAAGCCCAGAGCCAGCTCCAGGAACCTGACACCTGTGGAGCGAACCCTGTCTGGATGCCCGTCGGGACTTTGGAGGTCTGGGACTGTGCGGCCTCAACGACTCTATCGTTAAGTCGGGCCTGTCACTCTACAGGAGGAATATTACAAAATAGACGAAACATAGTCACGGGACGATTTTTCGATTTTTTTTGAGCATTAGTGGATTTCTTTGTGGTTGTTGTGTTTTAGTTCATATATCTATATATAAGTACAACACAATTTCTTAATGTTTCGCCGCAAATCGGCCTGTAGGGGGACACGCCCGAATTAACTCTATCGAGCGCTACAACGTCGTCGGGCGCTTCGACGAGCTGGACGCCTTCGCCCGGCGGGTGGTCACCGCGGTCGCTGGGCCCGAGCGGGCCTCGGCCCTCCTCGACCGCGGCTGGGGCTACACCCGCGACCAGCCGCTGTTCGCCGAACGGCGGGAGGTCCGATCATCCACGGAATGGCGATTTCGTTGCCGCCGCCGCCGTCGTTGTTTTTTCTGTCGCCGCCTCCGCGCCGAACGGCGGGAGGTCCCATCATCCACGGAGTGGCGTCTTCGTCGCTGCCCCCGCCGTCGTCGATTTTTCCGTCGCAGCCTCCGCGCCGAACGGCGGAAGGTCCGATCATCCACGGAGTGGCGTTTTCGTCGCCGCCGCCGGCGTCGTCGTTTTTACCGCCGCCGCCGCCACCTCGATTCTGGCGTTCTTTTTTGTCAGTTGTTTTTACGACCCTGGCATTTTGCCCAGCTTCGGTCTCCTCGGGCAGCTTTCGGGCCCTGGGGCCGTCAGGGAACTTTCTGGGATGAAGGCGCCTGCCTTGGACGCCGAGGGCAGGTCCTGGATGTACGTTCACCACGCCAACCTTCGCCGACGAACGTCGGAGCTCTTGGCTCGGGGGCGCCGCACGGGGTGGACTGGCCCACCGCGGGTGGCCCATTTGTCGCCGACCAGGGTGTGGGTGTCGCCTCTTGCCCAGGGACGTGCGGCTCCGCTGCCAGGGGCCCATCGCCGATCTATGGGCGATGCGTTCTCGAGTCCAGGCCGATGCCCCCCTGCCCCCTGAGCTGATCCGTCCCGTTCTTCTTCCCCTCGTCGGCGGCTCTCAGTGCACCGCGCGCTGTTTCCGGAGACAAGCGCGCTTTAGCGGTGACATTTGCGCCTTCGGATCGCCGAGAGAGGTGCGCGAGGCTGCCAGGCCGGGCCTCGCGATGGTGACCACGAACTCGCGGGCCGAGGCCGCGCTGCAGGGGAACGCCAGTCTGCGGGCCCGCATCGCGAGGCCTGCCCCCGTTTGACTCTGCCAGCCCTCTTCTCTTCTCTCTACGGCGAGCGAGGGGAGGAAGTGAGAAGGAGCAGGTCTTCTCAGAAGGCAACGGGACTTCTCAGAAGCCCTCGCGCCTTCTGTTTTTTTGTTTTTGTTTCGAAGGCTACACTGCGTGCGTGTCGTGGTCCGCACCTTCACGATTCGGCGGGGCGCATGCGTCGAGGGTGCGTAGGCATTAACGACTAACACTCGAGGTCAGACGAAACTGGACGCCTTTTCGTTGTGATCGGCTTTTGAGGGGCCCGCCGCAGCGGGCGCGTCCTCCTTCCTTCGTCCTCCTGCTTCTCCTCTTCCTCCCCTCTATCTCCTCCCTATTCCTTTCCGCCACGCTTCCCAGCCACGGCTTCTTCACATGATCTCTCCACGTTCATGCAATCACCATGCTTTGCGACATGGCAGCAGACAGCCAATCACAAGGGCCTGCATCAATGGACATCTCTCGCCAACGCGGCCCAATCTGATGTGACCCGTCAGTAGGTGCACGTGCGAACATAATGTCAATTCTTTCCATGCTGGATGTGAGCAAGACGCGACCTGTTGTAACATTGGCACGCAGGTGCTGGCTGGCGTGCATTGGCCGCCGTCCCCACTTGCTCGGTACCATGTTCTCCCTCCTCCAAGTCCAAGGAATTCCAGCATCGAACTCCGCATACGCGGCTTTGCGCACTCAGCGTTTCGGTTCGGACGGCCACGGACGCACCCTGAACTGCTCTTCCTATCTCTTCCAGGAGTCCTGCGCCCTCACTCGGTCGCCTGGTCCTGCTCCCGCGAGGGCCATCTGGAACAGCCCGCGCGCGCCACTGCGGGCCAAGCCGGAGCAGCTGCGCCGCGCGATTGCAGAGCCACCGCCAGCTATGCCCGGGCGGCGCCAGCCGGGCGCCAGCAGCAGTGGGTGCCGGCCATGCCGGCTGCAGCTGGGGGCAGGGATGGCCCGCCGGCGACGCTCCCCCGACCTCCGACGCCGCGTTTCTCGCAGCGCCGGCGATCTCCCTCGGGCAGTGGCGCAGCGTCCTGGCCTGCCTGTAGGCCCACCAGGACACAGTTCTGAGAACCTCGTATTCATGTGGTTTGCACGGAGTGTCCTTGGAACAGTTCTGGCTGAGGCGGTCTTGTTTTGATGCATCGGGCTTATGCTCTGAGTACACTGCTCTTGTACCGAGAACATTTTTGGGTTCTAAGGACATGCCGTGGCAGGCCTGTACGCATGCTGGGACAGTCGGTCCCCGCTCAAGATTCCCCCAGGGTCTCGGCCCCCAGGGGGCCCGCGCCGGGGCTCCCTGGCTTGCAGGCAAGCCATGTTCGTGCTGCAGACCCAGCCCAGGGGGAGGGGTCGGAGGCTTATGTGTTCGATCATGGACCCTCTGTTAACGCGAAATGTCCTGTTTTCGCACCGAATACCGCCGAAAACCGTGTCAGGCCGCCGTCCAGACCGCCGAAAGCCGCCGACAGACCACCGAAAACCACTGAAGACCGCCGTCCAGACCGCCGAAGACCGCCGAAGACCGCCGAAAGACCGCCGAAGACCGCCGAAAGACCGCCGAAGACCGCCGAAGACTGTCGGGCCCCAACGCCCGTGGCGGGGCGCGCGCCCGCTGGCGGTTTTCGGCGGTCTTTAGGCGGTCTTCAGAGGCCAAGATGCGTGGCGAGGGGTCCATGATCGAACACGTAAGGAGGCTCCGGCCGCCGGTGACTTCAGAAGCTCGAGCCATCGGAGGTCGGGTTCCGAGGCTGGGGTCTGGTTCATCCGCCATCACCGCTGCGAGGGCCGATCTCAGGGTTTCATGGGGGGGAGAGAGAGAGAGAGAGAGAGAGAGACAGTGCCAATGGCACGCCACTGTTTGGACCCCTGACGTCGGGTCAATCTCTTGTCTTGTCCGAAGACTTAGTGCGTCTTCAATTGAATAAGCTGATGGGTTACCCACGGCAGCGGGTCATTGGGACTGTTTAAACCCCGCCCCCCCCCCCAGGGACTAACGATGACTTGGGCACGTTTCAGTTCTAAGGAGAGGGGGGCCCAAGGTTTTTACCTAACAGCGAAGACTGATAGGTTCTAATAGCGTCAAAAGAGAGCATCATGACTCCCCAGGGGGGTCTGGGCGGCATCCAGACAGGGATCCGCGAAAGTCGTTTTAAGCAAACAGTTATACACTTCGTGGTCTTCGAGGTCCCAGAACTCCATTCCCGGGCCACATTTTGAATGCCAGGAGCCAACTGTAGGCCACTTCGTGCTCTTCGAGTTCCCAGAACTCCATTCCCAGGCCACATTTTGAATGCCAGGAGCCATCTGTAGGTCACTTCGTGCTCTTCGAGTTCCCAGAACTACATTCCCGGGCCATATTTTGAATGCCCGGAGCCAACTGTAGGCCACTTCGTGGGCTTCGAGTTCCCAGAACTCCATTCCTGGGCATGATTTTGAATGCCCGGAGCCAACTGTAGGCCTCTTTGTGTTCTTCGAGTTCCCAGAACTCCATTCCGGGCCACATTTTGAATGCTGAGGGAGGCTGATGCTGAGGCTGAGGCAGGCTGAGGCTGAGGCAGGCTGAGGGTGAGACCGAGGCTGAAGGCAGACTGAGGCTGAGGCTGAAGCAGGCTGAGGCTGAGGCTGAGGCTGAGGCTGAGGCAGACTGATGCTGAGGCAGGCTGAGGCTGAGGCTGAGGCTGAGGCAGGCTGAGGCTGAGGCTGAGGCTGATGCAGGCTGAGGCTGAGGCAGGCTGAGGCTGAGGCCGAGGCTGAAGGCAAACTGAGGCTGAGGCTGAAGCCTGAGCAGGCTGAGGCAGGCTGATGCTGAGGCTGAGGCAGGCTGAGGCTGAGGCAGGCTGAGGCTGAGGCCGAGGCTGAAGGCAGACTGAGGCTGAGGCTGAAGCAGGCTGAGGCTGAGGCTGAGGCAGGCTGAGGCTGAGGCTGAGGCAGGCTGATGCTGAGGCAGGCTGAGGCTGAGGCTGAGGCTGATGCAGGCTGAGGCTGAGGCAGGCTGAGGCTGAGGCCGAGGCTGAAGGCAGACTGAGGCTGAGGCTGAAGCAGCTGAGGCTGAGGCTGAGGCAGGCTGAAGGCTGCTGAGGCAGGCTGAGGCTGAGGCTGAGGCACATGAGGCTGAGGCCGAGGCTGAAGGCAGACTGATGCTGAGGCTGAAGGCACTCTGAGGCTGAGGCTGAGGCAGGCTGAGGCTGAGGCTGAGGCAGGCTGATGCTGAGGCAGGCTGAGGCTGAGGCTGATGCAGGCTGAGGCTGCGGCAGGCTGAGGCTGAGGCGAGGCTGAAGGCAGACTGAGGCTGAGGCTGAGGCTGAGGCTGAGGGTGAGGCTGAGGCTGAGGCTGAGGCAGGCTGAGGCTGAGGCAGGCTGATGCTGAGGCTGAGGCTGAGGCAGGCTGAGGCTGAGGCAGGCTGAGGCTGAGGCCGAGGCTGAAGGCAGACTGAGGCTGAGGCTGAAGCAGGCTGAGGCTGAGGCAGAGGCAGGCTGAGGCTGAGGCTGAGGCAGGCTGATGCTGAGGCAGGCTGAGGCTGAGGCTGAGGCTGATGCAGGCTGAGGCTGAGGCAGGCTGAGGCTGAGGCGAGGCGACGGCAGACTGAGGCTGAGGCTGAAGCAGGCTGAGGCTGAGGCTGAGAGGCAGGCTGAGGCTGAGGCTAGGCAGGCTGATGCTGAGGCAGGCTGAGGCTGAGGCTGAGGCAGGCTGAGGCTGGCAGAGGCTGAGGCTGACTGAGGCTGAGGCTGAGGCAGGCGAGGCTGAGGCAGGCTGAGGCTGAGGCTGCAGGCTGAGGCTGAGGCTGGGACTGCGACTGCCGTTGCCACTGCGACTGTCATCGCGAATGCGACTACGACTGCGAGAACAGCAGAATTCTACAACTGGGTTCTCATCTGCATCTTAAGGGGAATGCTTCCAGATATGCTCCTACACCTCGCTGTTAGGTTGCTTTGCCGGGATATTGTTCTTTCTCTCCTTCTCTCTCTGTATATATGTATATATAGATATGTGTACATATATGTATGTATGCTTTTACATATGTACATGTGCATTACATATCAGCTATTTGCGTTTATGTCTGCCTGTATGTATGTATACATGTATGTGTGCGTGTATGTATGCATGCGTGCATGTCTGTCTGTATGCATGCATGCATGCATGCATGTATGTATGTGCGCATGTATGCATATTTACATGTATGCATACACGTATATATGTATGTATACGTGCATGTTTGCACGTATGCATGTATGCATGTATGTATGTATACCCATGCGCACAAACACACACATATATATATATATGTATGTGTGGATGCATGCATGCATGCATGCATGCATGCATGCATGTATACATGTATACATGCATGCACGCATCTAGGGTTGTGTATACGTACGTATGCATGCTTTCATGAATATATGCTTGTATGCATGCATGTCTGTGTATGAATATGTTTGTGTATATGCCAGCATGTACATGTTTGTATGTATGTGTGTATGCATGCGTGCATGCATGCCAGCATGTATGCATATGCATGCATGCATGCATACACACATGCATGTACGTATGCGCATACGTATGCATGTATGTATGCATGCATATATGTATGTGTGTATGCATGCATGCATGTCTGTATGTATTCATGGACTGTACGTATGAGTATAATGTATGTATGCGTGCATGTATGCACGTATGTATGTATGCAGTCATGCATTTATGCCTGTCTGCCTGCCTACACGCATGCATGTAGGTATGTCTGTAGGTACGAATGGATACTTGTTGTTTACATTCATGCGCGCATGCATCCATGCATGTATGTATGCCTCTTGAACGTATGTATGTATGTGTATATATACGTATGTAGGCATGCATGCATGCATGTATGTATCTATGTATGTATGCATGTATGCACGCATGTAAACAAGTATATGTGCACACATTTACGCATGTATGTATGCATGCATGCATGCAGGTATGTATGTCTGTATGTATGTATATTTACACATATATATGTGTATACACATATATATATATGCATACGTATATGTACATGTATATGTAAATGTATATGTATATGTATATGCATATGCATATGTATGTATGTATACACGTATGCATATATATGTATGTATGTATGCCTGTCTGTCTGTCTGTCTGTATGTATGTATGTATGCATGAGGGTATGCATGTATGTATGTAGGAAGGTATGTATGTGTGTATGTTTGCATGTCTGTGTGTATGTATGCATGCATGCATGCATGCATGTATGTATGTATTATGCATGCATGCATGCATGCATGCATGCATGTATGTATGTATGTATGTATGTATGTATGTATGTATGTATGTATGTATGTATGTATGTAGGCATGTACACACATATACATACATACATACACACATATATATATATATGTATGCATGCATGCATGCATGCATGTATGCATGCATGCATGTATGTATGTATGTATGTATATATATATATATATCCAGCCTCCTCAAGGGACAGTGTAAATTGATGTTTTCGGGATCCAGGGGATGCACAGATATCTGT